TCCAAGCAAAAGCTAAACATGGAGCTCCAATGGTTGAGTCCCTCCTCAAGAACAGTCCGTAAAACATGTACGCATCTCACAATTTTACAGCTTTTTTGGTAAAAATAATTCCTTTTGTGCTGCGGACCAACACATTTTGTTGTGAGACTGAGCTGCAGTTTATCAAATTAACAACCTCAAACCTGTGAGCTATTAAACATGAACGTAAGCAAGTTTCAAATCTTTCTTTGCACTTGCGAGAGGAAAAATATATTCAACATATTAAATAGACAGCAAGAATATACACAAGAAAACTGAAGATAAACAGAAACTGTATTACAAGAGTCTCAACGGGGGACATTTAATAGAAACTCCTCAATCCATAAGAGGAGGGAGACAATGAATGCAAAACATGTTTTTCTGTTTATTCATCTTGTCTGGTGTCCTTGTGTTTCTCGGCCACCCACAGATCAGTGACTGAAGGCGAGAAAAACAATATACTGTGCAGCATGTTTCACTTTTAATGGACTTGCACCGACTCTCATGCTGGTCTGCACTCGCGCATTCTTGAAGATGGAAACCGAGATGTGCTGCAAAGCTAACAAGCCAACTTCCCCCAACTTTTTCCTTTTTTTTTTTCCCCCTCTGCCAGAGCGGTTTTTGATCCACTCACCAAGCGAGATCTTCTCCCCGGAGTCGGCTGGAAGCACAAAAATTAGCAGGGTCATGGAAGACAGCAGCACGCAGGGGATGAGCAGATTCAGGGCGTAGTAGAGCGTTCGCCTCCTTATCGTAACAACAAATGTCACATCGGGGTAGGGCTCCTTGCAGCAGTCGTAGAAGACCTCGCTTCTGGCGCCGGGGACGCCTGGAAAAACACAGACAGTAACTAATTCTGCTGCTCTGACTGGATTCAGTGCAGATTTCTTTCCTCCAGACTCACCTATTAGATCCCACTCTCCGTTGGGCATGTAGCCGGTGATGTCTGCATCGTTCATCTGGAGGTCCAGCAGCCACCCGTCGTACGTCCAGGAGCCAAACTTCAGCTCACACTTCTGAATGTCAAAGGGAAACCAGCGGACGTCCACGTTGCATGTGCTCATAAAGATTCCTGAGGAGGAGGACAGGAGGCAGAGAGTTAAAGCTCCACACTCGATTGACTAAATGACAATATTGACCCCTGGAGTTTCCTGAACAGAGGTGACAAGGCAAAGAACGACCGTCCTGAATATCAAATCACCCGCTGGACCCAATCATTCATTCATTTTGAGGCCCTCTAACTGAACGACCTTGCGTTGTTTATTCGGAAATGGTGCTAAAACTGCTGCATCACAAGCCAAAGAGTGCAGGGTTTTCATTAACAGCCGTGCAGGTCTGCAGAGAGTTTAGTGTTTGGAAACTGGAGGTTGAAGAAGTAAAAAGCCTAGACTAAATTAGAAACAACCTCCCATGAAAGAAATGTCTATAAAAACAAACCAAACTTGGCAGCAATATTGTCACTCGCAGGTTTCGGGTGCTCTCTTCTGCAAACAAATGCTGCTTGTGTGCTCTGCCTGCACACACACAGCTGTTAGCTAAGCCTCAGCGGCAGCACACAACATCAACAGTGACACTGAAAAATAAGATTGCGCACAGTGCCGTAATCAGATTACCACTTTTATTATGCAAAATAAACGCAGTCACACACATGCACATGCACGAAGCCGTCACACTTTCAGCGGTCCTCGCAGTGGTCGCTGGCAAACGACAAACCCTTGGAGTAATTACTGAAATAAACGCCTGTTAAAATGTACAGACACAGAGAACCAAAAAATAATAATGCCAGCGAGGCCTTGGAGCTCCCAGAGACGTTCATTATGAGCCTGCCAACATGCAAAACAGCCTTCAGAGTCTAATGAAAGCAGAGACGAGTGAGGAGGTGAGCAGGTTGAACGGCGGATTCGAAGCTTGAGGTTGATCACAAAAAATAAAAATGGCACCAGCTATAAATTTGCCTTTTATGCTCTTCTTACTCTCTAAAAATTCACTTATTAGCGTGGAGATCTTTGCCTTTGCTTCACGAGGACGATGTCTTTATAATTACCCCCGTTATGAGCTCCAAAGGCACTAAATCCTAAACTGCACTGATTAAGTTAAAGCAGCTCTGCCGGCCTTTTTGCACTCTGCTGCTCCGTGCACCGAAATATTTTTATAACACCACCTCCCGGAGATGTGCGCTAACCTTGAAGCAACGCTCTCAAACACCTGAAATCTTTTTTTTTTCTCGGCAGCCTGGAACAATCTCTTGTCTCGGAGCAGCTCCCAAAATAAAACTCCATCATTCTGAAAACTGCTTCCCAAGACGCCACTACAAGGCCCGGAGACAAGATTACCGTGCCGTAAATGTCACCTAATCCAGATATGAGCTAAGAAGAAGAAAAAAAAAAACCTGTTACACCTTATCTCCTGTTGTGCCATTAAGCTAAACATAACAACACCTCTTCCCTCTGTAGACAGCAGAGGTGTTTTGATGGCGTGCAGCAGGCACTTGGGATCCTCCACATCTGAATTATTAACCTTGTGTCAAGCTCCTGCTCCATGCCTGCCACCCACAGGCCTGTTGTCTTTTATTTACTGACAATAACCGGCTCCGAACACACCTCAGGAAATGCAGCCGGGGGTTCGTGAGATCTGCCAGATTTGCTGCTTGCTGCTGCTACTTTTACTGCCACTCTTGTTCAAACCTCTCCTCCCTTTATTCCACCAAAAAAAAAAAAAAAGAGGAAACCACAGCGCTGGCTTTAGATTCTTGCCCCTAATTGGCTCCCATCCAGATCACAGCATTAAAGCAGAGGTATTTACATTCAAGCAGCAGCCTATTAATAAACATGGCCCCGTGGATAGAATTGATACCGTGGCTTTTTGAGCTCGAGGGCTTCGACTTTTTACTTCAGAGGGCTATTTCAGCTCAACCCCCCTCCTCTCCTCTCTGAACACAAGGGATTCAGTCTCAGACTACTATAATCTGGTGTATAAAGAAAAGACAGAGAAAACGCTAAGTAAAGACCCGTGAAACCTCCAGGGAGGCGGTACTTTCACAGGCTTGCACGGCTCTTGCGTTTGGGTTAAGAGGAAGCGAGCGTCTCCTATTTATAGGTGTTACTCACAGCACAGGGAATCCGTAACTAGTGACTAACCAGGGCTGCTGTTTTGGTGTTGTTTTTTTTTACGCTGATAAAATATTAACGCCAAGTGTACAAACAGGAGAGGCATGCCGAGATTGCAGAACGAGAGGCTGCACTTTGGGGAAATGAGGGAGCAGGCTGGATGATAACAGCAGCGATGGAGGAGCTCACCTGGAGGCAGGTACTCGGCGTAGCCACTGGAGTTCACCAGGATGTTGGTCTTAAAGGTGGAGTCAAAGTCATCATCTGCACTGAGGAAGGACAGGAGGGGAGGTTATTCGTTGGCGTGCGCGCGGCGCCCGGGTGTTTGTGCATGTTTTACCTGTTGTAGAGGAGGATGTCCGGTGTCCAGACCTGATCCGTGGTGAAGCGGAGGTTTTTCACTCCCGGGTGTTCGCTCTGGTTCCACTGGAGGTAGTGGTCGAACCAGCTCTTCAAAACACAAACAGGCAGTCTGAGTTCAGGTGGACTCTGAGCAAACTACCTCCAGTCCTCCCTGCGGCTGAATTAAAGTGCAACCATCCATCCATTATCTCTACACCTTAATCCTCACTAGGGTGGTGGGGGGCTGGAGTCTATCCCAGCTGACTCAGGGTGAAGGCAGGTTCACCTGGACAGGTAACCAGTCTATCACAGGGCTACACTTAGAGACAGACAACCAAGCACACTCACATTCACACCTACAGACAATTTAGAATCACCAATTAACCTCAACATGTTTCTGGACTGTGGGAGGAAGCCAGAGAACCCGGAGAGAACCCACGCTGCACGGGGAGAACATGGAGACTCCACGCAGAAAGATCCCGGGTGTCCTCACTGGGACGTAAACCGGCGACCTTCTAGCTGTGAGGCAACAGTGCTAACCACCGCTCCACCCTGTAGCCCTTCTTATAGACCATATCATTCCAAAAATATTAGTCCTGTCTGAGCTTCAAACTTCATTTTCTTCTCAATTTGAAACCCACGAAAGCAGAAAATTCATTAACAGAGACTCTCTCTTACCATCCGGAGCCACATGTTCGAGGTCAACACCTGATTCTTCTCATCCTGCAAAACATTGAAAACACATTTTTTTTAGCTCTGTGAAGCAGTTCCCCGGCATGCAGGGAACGTTCCAACAACACTGGATGAGCATTGCCTGAATGCGGGCTTTTATCTTTTCAAATAACATTCCTCCGAGGTGAAACGTGAGCGACAGCACAATGATTAAACTGCGACATTCAGAAGATGTTTAAAGAATGTTCTCAGGGTCACATGTAAGGTTCTGTGATAACAAAGGAAGAACATTCTCGAACCAGCTGAAAAGAAATGCCTTGAAGATGTTGTCGAGGCCTCAGATGGCAGAATGTGACTTAGAAATAAAATGTTTCTTTAATGTGATATAAGGAAGGAAGAGGGAAGAACATTCTGGGTACCAAAAGACAACTTCCCACTAGAAGTATCACTAGAACTCTGCAGAACATCCTCACGCCGTTTTAAATATTTGATTCGGAGGATTCGTTTTAAAGCAATTATCTTTAAAAACTCCAGCTATTATCACTGGGATTATCGTCACTCATGTCACAGTTTCAGGCACAAACAAACAGACGGCTTAACTTGGCACCGACCCATGATTTTTAATTTCTCTCTTCCAGGCTAATTTCCATATCAATTGCAAATGAGCAAAAAAAAAAGGCTCAAAGAGAAACGCTTCATTATGCGTCTGTGTTGTAGAAATACACGCGAGCATCTGTGGACAACCTACCACGTCCATGATCTGGATCAAACTGAGGGAGAAGACGACGGTCAGGGGGTGGGAGTCGTTGCCCACCGGCCGCTCCATCCGGTTGTAGTCCTTCAGGAGGTTCTTCAGCAGGTTCCTCTGGTGGGGACCCTGCAGCGACACTAAACAGGCAGAAGAAACATCTGTTAAACCCGTCACCTGAAGCCAGTCTGTGTGTGCTCACCTGCAAAACTCCATGAAGTCTGTTAACGCTGAGAAAAAGTGACACCAACATTCAAGGAAAGCCTCAGCAGGGAGTTTAACTGACAGGGTGCTCATCAGATCTGAACATTTAGCCCCCGAGGAGCTGCACCTCCTTATCTCTAAATCCATCCAGAAGAACATGATTAAAAAAAAAGATGCAGTAGTAAGATTGAGGAACAGGAGATTTAGTGATGAAATTAGCAGAAATGTTATCTTTTATGAGCATTAGTCACACTTATCTTGACTAAGCTTCGCAAACGAGACGTGGATTAACCAACTCCTCAGTCAGAATGAAAAATACATCATTAATATTAAAAAAAACACTCAGGCAAAAATCAACAAACAGGGGCAGCAGGATTCAGAGGAGAACATTCAGTAAGCAGAATCTAATTAGAAATAGTGGAGAACCTTATCAGGATATAATTGGCACTAATGAGTGTATAATTAGGTTAGTTTGAAAAGCTCGGAGGTGCATCAAATGTTGAACGAAGACAGAGAGAGATTGAGAGAAAATGCACAAATGTAAAGACAACCGATGCAAACTAATTTAATGTTTTATTCTGGGGAGGATCCAGACTCTTCTGCTATTTATACCACGCAGGAGAACAGGGGGCTGATTATGAAATGCTGCTAAAAATATAAGATTTTCAGTGCAAGCAATTAAAAAAAACTGGGGGATTTGAAAAATATCGCTCAGCTCAGTTCAGTTGGCACCCGAATAAACTGCTGGGGGAAAAGCAGGAGCGCCGTGCTGGGGGATGATTCAGTTTGAAAAGGGGAAAATATCAGGAGTTCAGAGCTGAGAATATGACAGGATTAAGCCCCAGTGGAGCCGGGGCAGAAATGTGCTGGAGGTTTCTCTCAAAGGATGTCAAAGTGATGGAGAAGCCCTGGATGTTGTTTTTTCTATTTTATTTCTGCAAACTTTTGCCTCCTGTGTGCTCTTGTTTTTGTACACTTAAAAAAAAACCCTCTTGTGAAGACCTTTCCAGTGCCTGGATAAAGAAAGTTCTGCTCTCAGCTCTGTCAGCCTCCCGTCAGCTCGGCTGCAGCAACACGTCCAAAAGGCAAGATGGAAGAGCCGATCTATACGTGCAATTAAATTGATCTGTGACCGGTTTTCTGTGTGAGCCCCCCTCCCTACCCTCCCGCCTCCTCTCTACTCTCTTACAGATTTTGACAGACGAAGGCTTGTGGGTTGAAGAAAAAGAAAGATTTCTCCACCTGCTCGCGTGTGTCATCTGCCTCGCTGCACTAGACAGAATCATCTCATGCAAAAGAGGTCAACTGCGTATAAAAGACAAGTAAGCAAACAGGTGAGCCACACTTTTTTCCCTCGACTTTCAATCCTCACTCCGGCGCACACTTCACAGAAGCGTCAAGCAACAACCGGGCGACTCTTGAATTCCTGGTTTTATAAAAGAAATAAATAAATAAAAAAACGCCGCCGCTGTTGCTGCTGCTGCTGCTGCTGCTGCAATCAGATTCCTGAAAACATGAGTGAAAAAGACGGAAAGACATGCAGAGCTGGGCTCACCGTGGATCAAAGCGGAGAGGAGCAGAGCAGCCGAGTGCCACATCCTGGTTGAGTCGGCGAGGAAAGCAGGAGGAAGAGAAGGAGGCAGGAGAGGAGAAGATGCTGGAGGAGGAAGAGGAGGATGAGGAGGAGGAGGAGGAGGGATGGACGGGGATACAGGGAGCGAGAGAGAGTCAGGAAGCTGCTGGAAATCCTCCGGTCTGCATCCAGTCGGCATCAGAGGGGAAACGGTGTGAGCTGGAGGAGAGGGGAGCGTAAGAGGAGGAAGAGGAAGAGGAGGAGGAGGAGGAGGAGGAGATGGTGGCTGTTTGCTCTCTCTCTCTCTCTCTCTCTCTCTCTTTTTCTGTCTCTTCCTGGGAGGTGGGACTAAAATGGAGAAAGAAATGTCAGTGATGGGGGTGAAAAGGGGGCTGAAGACAGAGCAAGAGGAGGAGGAGGAGGAGGGAGGGCTTTTAATTGCCATGAGTCGACCTTATTAAAGACAGTGCGCGTGGTTTTAAATGATCTTAATGGAGAATTGATTGAAAAAGTCCCCAAATAGGTCAAACAGTCGCATATGAGGGTAAAATTTTTTTAAAAAGACAAGAAGAGGAGCTGCTTAGTAAAAGTCTCATCTAACCGCTCTGATTAGCTGCACTTTAAAACCCTCTTTGTGGCTGTTTTTTGTGCACAAATTGATCCCAAAAGTAGGAAAGAAACATGCAGTGAACCCTGAGCTGCGTACCCCCACCTCCTCGGTGCACATATCCCCACCGTGAGCGTGTCACAAATATATGGCAGTTGGTTTCACATATGATAACACACCACAGTGGTTGTGGTCACGCACTGCTGGGCTGGACACTGTCTGGCAAGTGTGTCAGGAGCTCCCCCCCACCCCCCAGTTCAGAGCAGGATGGCTGGGGACGGGGGGGGCGAGTTTGTGAATCAGAGGGGGCAGACGGACTCGGGCTTTAATTGAGAAAGTGCTGGGCTCTGCAGGAGGGCAAACGGGAGAATGTGCATAGTTAAGGCCTACTTCTCATTTGTTCTCGTGAAATGCTGATGCAAGGGCAGAGGCAGCGAGAAACTGAGGGAGACGGAGGGGGGAGGGGGGGCAAGAGAGGAGGAAGAAAGAGTCGGACTGTATAATAGATTACCCTATTACTTCTACTGCCCTTCGGAATTACCCCCCTCTCCCGGGCAGCCTGTCACACATCCCAGAACGCTCCCGAGCAGCAGATTCATGCTCGGCTGCACGCAGAGGATGGAGAGTGGCCCCCTCGGAGGCAAAAAAAAAAAAAAAAGAAGGATGGTCCAAGTCACCGGTTAAAAGCAGAGAAAGCTGCACCAAGTGTGGAGCGAGGACAGTCGATGAGCCTCAGCCATGTATCATCAGAGGGGAAGCATCCTGTTGCTGCTGCTGCTGCTGCTGCTGCTGCATCCCTGCAACACTGCTGCCTACATGGGAGGGAAATTGACTCTGAGTTCATGTGTGAGGGAGAAAAAAAAGCTCCTGTTATGCACCAAGCACCAGGGTGACACAGTGCCAAAAACATTACGCTTCATAAAAATCCAGATTGGAGAGGCACTGAGGCGTGGGTGACATCTGGTGGTTTTGTTCTCCAACTGCACACTGGCTGCCTGGCTGGCTGGCTGGGTGGATGGTGGAGGGTTTTCCTGGGGAAGGAGTGAGGTTGAAGTGGTGGTGGTGTTAATTAACAAGGGAGAAACTGGGTGAAATGATACGAGAAGATGATGAGAGTCAGGGCTATAAAGAGAGGCCTAATTAGGAAACAATAGCAGCAGATGAGTGAGGACAGCAGGGTGTGGAGTCGAAGCCCTGTTAACGGTGATGGAAGCAGAGGATTACGACCATCTCGGGTCACTCTCTCAACATTCACTGCTTCTTCTTCTTTTTTATTTATTTTCTTGATCCTGATTGTAATTGCACAGCAGCACTGGTAGCCTTTGCTCTAACCTGGCCCGGCTGCCGCCCACCCCTCCCTCTGTGCTGAATGCTGAATGCCGCCCCTGACAATGCAGCCATCAGCCATCGGGGCTGCTGTGCTGTGTGTTTTTAATTACTCTGCTGATTGGATTAGGCCCTCTCCTACGCTGACACGTCCCCCCTCACTTAATAGGGTGTTATCGACAGAAGCAGCACATACATCCATTCGCCTGTGACGTCTGATTTGTCAGAGTGGCTTTTTTTTTCCTGTCTCTCGTCTTGAATGGAGTTCAGTAGATGGAGTTGTCTCCTAGCAGGCAGTTATATCCTGTCCCAGTTAGCCCTGGCAGCCGGATAAAAGTGGACTGTAATCCAATAAGGTTCCGTGGTGTGAAATCGAAGAGCGCTCGGTTCAGCATCGGGTTTCTGTCCAACTCACAATGAACCAAAAATATCAAAATTAATTCAACAGAATCAGCGATATCATCTTTTTTCATTCCACACATTTTTCTTTGTCATCACTTGGTGTAACAACCAATACCTCTAAAGTCTGCTGAGGATTTTTTGGGGGGCTTTTGTGTGCCAGAGTATTTCTTGGATGAGAGCGGTGACCTTCTGGAGTCTCAACTGGTTGCCTAGAAGCTTCACACTGACTCTAGTCTTGCATAGCCAAACTGTTCTCTAGTGCTGACGCAGCAGTGTGCAGAATGGTCTGACTGCACCTATTTATCACTCTGCTACGGGGGAAAAAATGCTCAGGCTTGTTTATATCTCCTTAAACCAATTACAGTCGCATTGCGTGGCGGTAAGCCCAGGATGCAGCAACAGTGTCCCTTCAAAATAATGATAAAGTGACCGGCTATGGGGGAACATTTGCATGCAGGGAGGCAAGTGTTGTCATTAAAATGGCTAATTTACCACCTTATTGTGAAACCTTTGGCAGAATTTGAAATTGTCAGTGTTTTTGTTGCTGCTTGGTGGTTGTTGTTTTTGTTTCTCGTAGTGAAGGGGATGTAGAAAACCTGAAAACGCAGACAATGGAAGAGGAGAAAGTCACCTGAAATACACAGTCAATGATTGGCTTTTAACTGCAGTCTACATCCATCCATCATCTATACACCGCTTAATCCTCACTCGGGTCATGGGGGGCTGGAGTCTATCCCAGCTGACTCAGGGTGAAGGCAGCTTCACCTGGACAGGTCACCAGTCTATCACAGGGCTACACTTAGAGACAGACAACCAAGCACACTCACATTCACACCTACAGACAATTTAGAATCACCAATTAACCTCAACATGTTTCTGGACTGTGGGAGGAAGCCGGAGAACCCGGAGAGAACCCACGCTGCACAGGGAGAACATGGAGACTCCACGCAGAAAGATCCCGGGTGTCCTCACTGGGACGCCAACCGGCGACCTACTAGCTGCGAGGCGACGGTGCTAACCACCGAGTCACCTTGCAGCCCAGTCTATATCCAGTGAGTCAGAATACATTGACCCCAAACTAGAGGTAGACCAATTAATTGATCGATTAATCAGGACAATGCCAATTTGAGATAATCTGCATCAGTCAACGCCAAGTCAGTAATCAATCGATGCTAATTATCTCTCCTTCCAGGTGTCGGTCTAAAGGGTTGTTATCCATGGTGCAGAGATGCAAAACATAACAAGATAGACAGTTTTTTCCAGAAAAACATCATTTAATGAGTTGAGTAAACTCATTTATCCGCTTCTTAATTTTAAGTCAAATTTCTCAAGGTAGAAGGATTCATGTTTTTAAGTTCTGAAGAAGTCAGACGAGAAAAATTAGACATCTTTGAGTACTTGAAATTAACAAAAGTACACATTAACATTATATTAACTAGAAAACATGAGCTGGTTACAGTGCATTTTATTTGCTAAACCACCACAGCTGAATCAGAAGCCAGTTGATGCCGTGCAGAACTTGAAAATTGAACACGAGAGACCAAATATCGATCCAGAAGCTTCACTGAGTATCTCTAATGAGTGAAGTGGCTTCATATCATATTGACAATCATTAAATGTTGTTATGGCAGAAGGTTTTAATTAGGTGTCGTGAGTCCTGTCATTTAAAGCACTTGTAGGGGAAAAAAAATAAAACTGATAAGACTACTTCACTGGAGGGATAAACACCATTCCCCTCCTTGATTGGATGATATGATGGTGGTGGACAGCGTCTAACACATCAGTCCAGATTATCCAAAGTGTTCAGTTGTGTCGTGATCTGGTGACTGCGAAGCCCGTAACAAACGATTCACATCATTTTCAGACTCATCAAACCCTTCGGCGACCCCTCCTGCCCTTTGGATGGAGGCTTCGTCATCCTGGAAGAGCCCCCTCCCACCTGGATGGAAATGTTTCATGGCAGCACAGAGGTGATCGCTCAGAACAGCTCTCTATTGATTTGCAGTGACCCTTCCTTCTGAGGGGACAAGTGGACCCAAACCCTGCCAGCAAAATGTCTCCCACAGCATAACAGGGTCAAAGGTTCTGTTTTTTAACTTCAATTTGTCAACCGTCTGTACATATTAATCAGTGAGCTGTAGGCAGAAACCGGCAAGCTGTTTCTTGGTCTTTACGTTAAGCTAGGCTAACCATTTTTAACCTGTTTCTCAAGTTGCACAACGGTGACGGCCAGAATCCTTGAAGTAAATCAGACTGTTTATGTGTCACGTGTACGCTGACTTTCTCTTGTTTTGCATCAACATATCCTCTTATCTAACTCTGCAATAAAGCAAGTAAGCATATGTCCCGAAATGTCAGACTGCTCCTAATCGTGGCCTTTAACCTTTAAAACACTACATTTGTCTTCGCCATCTGCATCCCGATGGAACTTGTTTATTGTTTGACGAATGTTTCCCAACGGATGAGGTTTGAAGCAATTAACATTCTGACCAGAAGATGAACTGGCACTCCCCGAAGATTGAGGGCAAGAAGCAGATTTGCCATTTACCAGCCTCAGCCATAAGTCAGCTCAAAATATCACAGTTTAATTTCACTTTCTTAGCAGCCAAAGGATGATTTGCTATAGAAGAGACTAATTGAGGATGCGCTGGCTACCGGCCACGCAGGCAAGAAGAATTGACATACTTAGCTACCAGCTAGAGCAGCCAGGATTTACGAGCGCTTGGCAGGAGGTTTGAATTAATTTGAGGCCCTGCAGATGTGCATATATCCTTTCAGCATCTTGTTATTTAAAGGACGACATAATTTAAGAACATTTGTGGCCTCTGTAGCCAGCGCCGTGCGCATCTATCTCTGGTGTTGCTCTATCTCAGCAAACTAAATAGTCATATTTCAAACTTTTTTTCTTTTTTTCTCTCTCTCTCTCTCTCTCTCTCCGTGCGAGGATGTTGCGAGATATCTTCTGTATTTACCGGAGAGCATCCGCGAGGCTTCGGTGTTGACAGTCACGCACTGAGGCACAGACAGTTGGGAGCTCACCGCCTGCAGAATATCAAAACAAAAACATCCAGACAGCAGCATCTGGCTAAGTCTCAGGGCAGAACAGAGGAGTTTCAGCATAATTAATCTATTTTGCATCTGGAGGGACCTCTGAGGAAGTTAAAAAATCAGAATGGATGATCAGACTACCACCGCGCTTTGAGCTCTTCCCACCTGTGCACGTCCACTTCCCCCCACTCAGCCTCCTTCTCCCTCTATTTATCCTTAAATACATGTTGTCTTCAGATTAAATAATGCCGTCCTTTATCCTGCTACTATCCGGATATGCTGTGTTCACCCTTTGCCCCTTGGGTCTTTCCATTTGGAGGGAGCTCTATTATCTGTGGACCCATCTGTCACAAGGATTTAGATAAATAACTGGTGCTGAATGTCATTGTTATGACTTTAATGCTTAATACTTCGCTCTGCTCTGCGCATATTGTTCGATTCAGGGGTGACATATTTGATATTTCATAAGCTCATAAGTATCAGATCTCGGTTTCACTGGATTAATCTTTGCTACTAATCTGCTGAATTGTCATTGAGGGCTGCTATTCCGCTTCCAAGATTAGATTTATTTATTTGCTTAAAGTTTGTATAACACACTTCTCTCGTTATGCCAGTTAATGCAAATGAAATGTGATATAAAAAGCGTTTCTTATCTGAAAACCGTCACAGAGGAGCGACACCAGCCCACCCATGCATGACCCCCACACGCACGTCCACGCACGCACACACACTTAAGGAGGATGAAATCTGCCAATCCCGGCTAAAAAAACTCCGACAGATGACTCAGTCTCTGCCTTTGCCCCACGCAACATCTGCAACTCAGAGTCTCTGCAGTCATTAAGCCCCTCCAGCTTTAAGGAAGATGCTCCGATGGTGGACGATCATAAACCATAAAGGGGAATAAATGCCTGAAAGTGTAATGGAGCTCCACCAGTATTTACCTCTTATGTCGTCACATACAGGAGAAGTTCATAACCTCCGCTTGGATCTATGGGAGGAGCTCTGTGATGCTGAGGCTGCTAATGGACTGCTGGAAACTTCGCTCACGCAGAGTGCGGACGTTTGGAATATTTTGATGTGAACGCACCGCAGCTGATTGGTTTGCAGCTTTACTGGGGTAAGTTTTTATGGGTTTTCAAAAAAATTTAAACTGATGTGTTTTTAACAGGATTTTACTGTTGGATCCATGATTTAGGCTGATGTGACCTTCAGGACTGAAAACTGAAAAAAGTTGAAAAATAACCAGATGAAACTGTCGTGTATGTAAAAGTTAAGGCCTGTTTTTTTTTTTCATCCTCGTGGTGGATTGATTGTAAACTGGAAAATCAGAAAGAAAAAGGTGAAATATGTGAGAGGAAAACATTTAAAATCTCGATTCATTATGTTGTTGCTGTTCACAATTCGACATGTAAAGAAAAACGGTTTGAAAATCTAAAAAAGAACAAAAGTTGCTGCATATAAAGTCAGCTGAGGGGAAACGTTTAGGAAAGCTGTGTTCACTAAGCTTCCCTTGAGCGAAACTTCAGCCGCAGTTTTCCTCTATAATGCTGCTGCCATCTGTTCAAACTGTATCCGGCGCCTGGTGTCTAATATTCTCCTCTGTCTCTCTGTTTCGCCTTCTCCACTCCAACCTCTTTAAAAGACCGTTAAACCCCTCGCGCCATGGAGCACTCCGCCTCCATGAACCTGTCGGTGGTGGATGGAGACGAGCTGGAGGACCACCGCCCTCTCCTCCCGCCCAGGATGGTTCCTCCGCCTCAGGCCTGCCCGCCCCAGTGTGGGATTCACCACACGGTCCAGACAGCACCCGAGCACACCGTGTGGCTGGACAGAACCCAGGCCATGGCCACCACGCCTCTGTACAACGGCCACCTGTACGTCACACCTTCACCTCGCCCCAACAGGAAGGGAGACAAAGCCAAAGGCAAGGAGAAGAAGTGCGAGAAAAAGTCACAGGGGAGCAGACCTGCATCCAAGAACCACCAGTGCAAAGCCAAAAACACAGGAGCTAGCAGACTGCAGGAGAACGTCACATCCTTCACCGACGTCCCCATGTCCCCCTGCGGCTCGCCCTTCAAAGGCCCCTGCAGGCCTCACCTGGACGTCAGGGATGTGGACGGTCGAGCGCGCCGCAAGTCAGCTAATGTTTCCATGGAGATGCACGACCGCCAGAGTCTCCCAGAGATAATCATCACCAACAAGGATGAGCAGATGCACAAGGGAGCTTCTCAGTACGGTCAGGACCCAAACGAGGGCAAAGGCCTGCTGCCAGGAGCCGAGTGTCCCAGTTCGAGCCCCAACCACAGCCCTCAGCACAGCCCCAAACACAAGATGGTCGACAAGGACGACCCGTACTGGAGGACCCACAACATCGGCTGGCGGCTGGTCCGCAGGAGGTCCATGTTCCTGAGGAGGCAGCGGCTGAACGACTGCGCCCTGGCAGTGGGGATATTCGGGGTGGTGATGATGGTGATGGAGACGGAGCTCTCCTGGAGCGTCTACAGCAAGGTGAGAGAGCAGAGCCACACTGAGGCCCTGACAAGTCCTTCTAGAAAAGTTCTGTCCGGTAAAAGAATCCAGAGATAAACTTCACTGTACAGCTACAGTTAGTACCCATCAGTATCATCCTTATCAGGGAAAGCAGGAAAATGCACAGCAAAGTCACGATGTGCACCAGATTAGAAGATTACACAGGATTGATGATGTCATCTCATAAATTGAGCTTTGTAATGACAGTCATCAGCTGACGGTGATGTCACGTTATGTCGCCCTCAGAGCTCCATCTACTCCCTCACACTCAAGTCGGTCATCAGTGTGTCGACGCTCATCCTGATCGGCCTCATCATAGCCTATCACTGCTGTGAGGTGCAGGTAACTGATCAGCTCATCCTTACATAACCACTGCTGCTTCTTTTTTTCTCTCTCTTTTTAAACCCAAGTCCTCCTCCACTGATCTGCTCACATATTTACCTCTTCAAATCTGTGGCAAGATTTTGTGAAGTACCAGAACCCCCATTTACCCTGAAGGAGCCACTTTTAATCCTTTTTATGTTTTAAATTTAGTTTTTGAACCATTAAGTCTCCAAATCAGGATTTTCCCTCTAAAATGTGTTCATGTGAAGGATTTTCAGTTTCAGTTGTCACACTTTTGTGTTCTTCTGCCACAGATTTAAGCACATCAGGTCTTTAGAGATGTCAGTTTAACCATAACACCATCTCCCCGTCCCTCCCGGTAGCTCTACGTGCACGACATCGGCGCAGCAGATTGGCGGATTGCCATGACGACCGACCGCTTGGCCCTCATCGCCCTGGAGCTGGCGGCAGTGGCCATCCACCCTTATCCGGTGGGCCTGCTGGATTACTTCCAGCAGAGGAAGATTCGCATGACGCTGTCCGAGACGGAGCTGGAGATCGTCCTGGCGCTGCCCATGTTCTTGCGGCTCTACCTGCTGGGTCGAGCCATGATGCTGCACAGCCGCCTCTTCACGGACACCGCCTCCCGCAGCATCGGAGCGCTCAACAAGGTGGGAGGTCATCAGTGCGGGCGACCCTGCACGAATCTGGCTTTGGGCTTAACTGGCTTTGGATAGTACTGTGATGACATCAAAACACGCTTAAATTAAAGAGGTTAATCTGAATATGAGTCTCAGAGCTGTGGCAGCTTTGGCACACCAGGATGTTAGGACTACATTCCTGACAATTATTTGTTCTTCTATGAACATTTCATGCACATGTGTTTATTTCTTATGCCTAGGTGGGCCGTGAGGTCTGTAGACAAGTGACACTCGAGGTGTGATTATCACAGTTTCGCTCCCATGAACCCCATGACCCTCTACATCTCTCCTTTGCTTTCTTTTCCGCACTCGATAATATCCACCTGGCTAATCCTTCTGCCTTATTAATACTATTTAAGAGTGATGAAAACAACCTCTGTCCTCTCTCCCTCCCTCCTCCTCTGCAAAACCAAACCTACTATCCATGTATCAAGCCAGATTGAGAACAAGTTTTTCTTATCCCTCATCTCCTCTATATTATATAATCATAATCTGACAGGTGCTATCCTAAATAGTCTGGCTAAGTAGGCCACTACTGTCAAAATCATGACGTAACGCATCCCATTGTCTGATCTTCAGATACACTTCAACACCCGGTTCGTGGGGAAAACTCTGATGACCACCTACCCGGGGACCGTGCTGATGATCTTCAGCGTCTCCCTGTGGATCGTGGCGGCGTGGGGCTTACATGTCTGCGAGAGGTATGTAAGGACAGCATGGAGTCAATGCTGAGGGATCATTAATATTTAATTATCATCCAACTTCTGGCAGATATACAGCACCGCTTTAATGTTTCTGCTGCAGCAACGAATCCTAGTTTTCTCTCCGCTGCACTTTATCTGCACCAGCAAATATTATGGGATGCCGACACGGGGCTGGTAATGTGACAGGTTGTGTTTTTTTTTTTTGTTTTTGTACTAAAAGAAAGTCGAGGCATTCATATTTTACCTGCAGCAGATATGTTCAGGAAGTTTGTTTTTTTCCCCAAAGCTGCGTGAAAATACCTCAAGATTCATGTGAGGGTTAAAAGTGCCTTTTTCTTCCTGCAGACACCACAACTACAGAGATCTGAGCAGCAACTACATGGAGGCCTTGTGGATGGTTTCCGTCACCTTCCTGTCCATCGGTTATGGAGACGTGGTCCCTCACACCTACTGTGGACGCAGCATCTGCCTCCTCACTGGGATCATGGTAAATGATTCAAGGTTGACACTCCCAACACTCTTTGGTGAATTTGCCAAAATCTTTCCAACAAACAGCTCATATTCTGAATCTCACAGGGGGCCGGCTGCACCGTCCTGGTGGTGGCGGTGGTCGCCAGGAAGCTGGAGCTGACCCGAGCGGAGAAACACGTTCACAACTTCATGATGGACTCACACATCACCAAGAGGGTGAATAGCAGCGCCTCACGACTCTTTTTACTCGACAACACGCAGGCCTTTTTGTGTGCAAATGGTCTAAATTGCCTTTTATTGGCATCAGAAAACCCCAGGAGCGAGTATAAGTCTGCAAGCAGGTGTAATAACTTCACCCAGCTTCAATACACGTCAACATCATTTGCAGCAGAATGTCTCGTTTTCTCAATCCTGCGGTGATCGACTGATACTTTGTCCTCGACTGAAACAGCAGCGCTAATTAAAATAAGCTAAAAGCAAGAGAAATTGCAACGGGGGAAACTTTGAGACACAAGAGTAGAACGGAAGGAAGGAATGTAGTTTGTTGGAGTTGTTCCACGCTTGCAGTAAATAAAAAGCACTTTGCAGTTTATGTGCGGAAACATACAATAACTCACCTGCGGATTTTCTTCCTCCTTTCATTAGATAAAAATTGCTGCAGCGAATGTGCTGAGAGAGACTTGGCTTATCTACAAGCACACCAAGCTGGCCAGAGAGAAAGACCACTCCAGAGTCCGCATGCACCAGAGGAAGCTGCTGCTGGCCATCCACCAGTAAGACACTCAGAGGAAGCTGCCTCTGATCAACCTGTTTGTTGATCAGCGCCTGCAATTAGTGCTTCAATTCAGATTTGACATCCTGGAAAACTACGTGTCACTCATTCCTGCCTCACCAGCGCCCACCCAGTTTCAAAAGAAGTTTCTCTCTGTGTGGTTTTAAAGTGATGTTTTGTGGGTGGCCGTCTTAAGCCAAGCACAAAATTAGAGGCCTAATTTTATGGTGAAGCAGTTTAAATTAATTGCCCGGCTACTTAAAAGGGTCGGTTTAACAAAATCACAGCATTTATGGATAGTGGAGCAGTTTGTTGAAACGCAGGTTGATGGAGAGATCTGCCTAAAGTGAGATTTAACATCCCTTTATTGTCATTGTGTGAAGATACAGAGCTTAAAGGTGCATAAATGAAGGATTTATCAAACTCGTGAGCCCTTACAGTTCACATCACGTCCAACAAAAGCTTAAAGGAAGAAAAAAAAGAAAGAAATAGAACAAAATAAATAATATAAAGCCCTCCTGGCTCAGTTCGGCGCACTCCCAGGGTTTTACTGCTACGTCTAAGTAGATATCACTGTAAAGGTCAGTTCTTTATTACTTTATGGCTCTTTCTACTTATCTCGCCACTACACTACTCTTTATTATCCGCTATTATCTTACAATTTTCCTTTGAGGCCACAAGTTTGGTTTGTTTTAACTGAACTCCTTCTATCAAAATCAAATCTAAGATATAAATGTGTTCTTTCCCCGTAAACAGATTTACTGGAAGGCCTCTCTGCTAAACCTCCCTCTGAAAGCTGTTGAGTGTGTTATGGCTTGTTTTTGGTCACCACACCTTTAAAAGTCTCTCCGACTGAACTGTAAAAGTTTCATAAAAGGAAGTAACTGTTCCTGCAGGCTGCGGAGGGTGAAGATTGAGAAGAGGATACTGGCCGATCAGGGGAACACACTCGTGGACCTGAACAAGGTGAAAGATGCAAGCGAAGGCATCGTTCTGTCCAAACCCCCACCAAGGCACCATCTAATCAGGTCCTTGTGTTCGTTTCCTGCTACATACTCTGACACAGATGCAGAACCTGATGTACGACATGCTGACCGAGGTGCAGGGCTGCAGGGGGGAGCTGGACTCGCACATCCACAGCCTGGAGAAGCACGTGGAGGAGCTGAGGGAGGGCTTCAGGAGCCTGATGCCGCTCCTGTCCAGCACCCTGTCCACCCAGAACTCCTCCATCCGACACCTGCTCAGAGAGAGGGAGGTGAAGTCGGAGACGGCCAGCGTGAGCGGGGACGACAGGTAGAGAGGACGGAGGAGGAGTCATCGGCCCACGATGCAGCTGAAATGATCACGGTGGGACTTTGTGTTTCTCACAGAGGTTGGACAGATGTGTGTGTATATAACGAGCTGGAGGCTGTACAGATGTGTGTACAGTTGTATGTAAAAATAGGTAGACCCACTTCGTGTAGCAGAAAAATGTAGAAATTAGTCACTTTTTATGAAGGTTTCTTTCCTGGAGCGACAGCAAATACGTGAAACAACCCGTCTAACATTTTATCAACGTTAGAGCTGCAGTATGTAGTTGAAGGAAAAAAACTTTTGCCCAGAAAGTTGTTTAATTTGAAGTTATTCATGATTCCAGGTTTAATTCTAGTAAATGGTTTTGGACATTCAGTGTCACCCTGTCAGTTTCCTCATGTTTGATGAACCACCTGATGATTACCAGTCAATCAGAGAATCATCAACATTAGCCCTAATTTTAAAAAAAATAAGAATAATCCTGGAAACTTTTGGGGAATTGTTGTAACTCCCACCAGTGAGTAGCTTTTATCTGTGAACACTGCATTTTTTTCTGATTGTGTAATAAAAACTAAATGTAAACACAGTTTGGCTTCATTCTATAAAGATAAAACATGAACCCGTGTTAAAGAGTCAGAAAAATAACCACACACAGAGCGTTCCTTTAGCCAAAACAATATTTTATTAAGAGAGACAGGGTTGGAGGGTGGAGTTACAGCAACAAGCGATCTGTCTAGGTGAACGGTGGAGATCCATCTGCTGCCCAGTCGGTCTCCGGGTCTCGTTTCGGATCAAACCGCCGGGTCTGCCACCGCCATGGAGGCAGAAGACGCTGATATCAACCGGTCCATCCCCTCCTCTCCCCCTTCAGCTCCGGGGAGAACAGCTAGTGCTGCTTCCTCCTGAATGAGCACCCTGCCAGAGGAGACAATGACAGTCAGTCGGCTGCTGACAAAAGAGAAGCCTTACAGTACAGAAATACTGCCGGCGGTGCACACGGCCATTGTGCTGCGCGGCGCTGATCCGAGAGTCATCATCTTTCCAGCATGTGACTGATTAGGTCAACATCTCCTGGTTTTGCGTTTACTTTGCACGGAAAGAATCGACACCGACGCAGCAGGAGATGAAACAAACGACACAAAGCCAGCAGCAGACAATAGTTAGACACCAAGTGTTTGTTCTCAGCCTTCGAAAGGGGGGAGCCAGTGGTCTAGCTCAACCCTTCTGCTAACTGAGGTTGATCTGGCACTGGAATGAGATTGGAAGACCACGATAGAGGAAGTCCAGTCACTTAGCAGTGCGGCCGACGGCTTCAAAATGTGTCGATATATAAATAATAATCCCTTTAGTTAATGTCTGAAACGCCACCTGAGCACATAAAAATGGAGTTTGTATAATAGTGTAATAATTATATGTATGTAATAAACATCAAATCAACTAGAACTGCTGCAAACAGCTGATGTGCTGCATTTATTACAAAGCTATTATGAAAAATGTAGACAAAGTGGTTCCTGCTACGCCACATGTTGACATGATGCAGCTTTCACACCTGAATGAAATAACTGACCCCAAATTCCACTTTACCAGTAAAAAGCTGGTAAGACAACAGTCGAAAAGCAAAAATTTAAGTGTGCCAGGCCTCAAACATACAAAGAATGAGTATTAAAGGATCTGATATAAGGACTAACTACTCTAGTTTGGACAACATGACTGTTCACCACCAGTTTAAATCTGGCCGAGGATCATTCTTGCATCTCACACATTTCCTGTCATCTTCCTACTGAGTGTCACCATCTCATAAAAAGACATAAAATACACCCCTAACTCAGATTTTAGAGAAATGTGTTCCTTTTAATTCATCTGAGTGTATGCAGGAGCGTCACTGAGCTGCAGATGCAACACCAGCCCCAGACACCGATACTGAGCTACACAAATGAACCCTGAGTCGATTGTGGACGAGCGGCTGCATACTGACCCTCTGTGAGACGTGCTTTGCCTCCAGTGGGCTGACAGAGGACTGTTGAACAGCCCACACACAGCACGACTGTCTGAGCGTGGCTGAACACCGTCGTGATCTTGTAGCATCCTGGAAAACACACAGAGAACACCAGTTAACACCAGGACTCCCACCATGCAGCGAACAAACCCCTCCATCATCTGCATGGTCATCACCAGAGCCCTACCTGGACATTTAACATCCATAAAATAAGAGTTGGGACTCTGAACAAGACGCTTCTTCTTGTGCCTCCTCTTCTCCTCCTCAGGGGATGGGTGCAACAAGTCTTTTGCGAGCTGCGTTGAGAGAGAAAAAGGGAAATAAAAGGCGAGGTTAGTGAGCCTGATCAGATATACTCAGGAAATGGAGAAAGTGGAAATAACACACAAGCGATCGTGATAAAGAAAAGGCTAAAGTACTAGATTGTGGTCCGTTATTTGAAGTAAAATCACACCAGCCGACTTGTTTTGTTCTGCTACGTCTCCTCGTTCAGGCTCCTCTCTGGCCTACATTTCTTGGATTAGGTAACAGACTGCGCATTTTTCATCAATCGCGGCCGATTTTTGCCAATATTCAGCAACTAGAGCTAAACTAGCATAGCCGCTAACCCAACGACACAATAAGTCTACATTTTGACATTTACTGTTAGCTTATCCTGGGCTATCGCTGTCTACGTTCAACTGGCTCCATGTTTGCGGTGTGTGCGCAGCCATCTTGTGTCACAATGCGCTCGCAATGCGCTCAAAGGTGCGCAATAATTTTAACGAAACTGGGACCAAAACACACCGAAACCTGCTAAAACCGGCACCATTCGATACGCTAATTTCTTATCTACATGTTGAGCCGTGCGCCGGCTCTCTGACACCACATTATACGGTCAGTTGGTGATTTTCCGTCGGGCTGTGTGTACTCACTGGCATGTTGGCGAGGAAAGAGCCGCTGCCGAAAAGGAGGCATTACCGGAAGCGACGGCCTCATATCGATGCGCCGTTTGAGCGTGAGCCGGAAGAGACGCAGCGGCCATTTTGGTGAGGTCAAACTCCGCCCTGCTTACTTTATAGACTCAAAAAAAAAACAAAGAAGTACGTACTTCTGTTTACTGTAGACTACAATATATATATATATATACTCTTATACATTTGTAGTTTACTCAAGATTGCCGTTATGTATTTAATTATACTCTTGACATGAAATAAATAGATAAGGTCGTAATTAATATATAAATAAATGTAATAAATGAATAGTTTTCTATTTCTAAAAGGATATATTTATATATTTGTCAGGACACTTTACGTAGATATTTCTTAATTTCATGGAAATATTTGTTAATTAATTATTTTTTAATGCATTATTTCCATACATACATTTACACATTTCATTATAAGATCTTTTAATTTCATAGCAAAAACAAATAATTTCTTGATGTATTTATTTTTTAGGAATGTCTATTATTTCATAGAAAAATTTATTTAATCGGAAAAATAATTAATTAATGGGAATATTTATTCATTTATTAGAAATATTTTTTCATTTTCTAGGAAACTTCATCTGTGTCATAGAAATCCTTATTTATTTACTAAATTTACTAATAGGAATCTTTATTTAGTTCATTGGAATATTTCTCAATTTCGTAGGTTTGTTTGTTTGTTTGTTTGTTTGTTTGACTATCTTTAAGTGTCCTAATTTGAAAACACAACCACTACTATTGTGGGAAAAAAAGCCATGTCACTGTTATTTTTACAGACACTGAGCCAAAGTGGTTTTACACAAATAAGATTAATGGTACAAATTCTCCCAACAAATGTAAATATTAACATTAAGATCCTGCAGTGTTAGGGTATATAGAATAGAATAGAATAGAATAGAATAGAATAGAATAGAATACTTAAAATATATATATATATATATATATATATATATATATATATATATATATATATATATATATATATATATATATATATATATAATATATATATGTACATACAATACAAATTGGCTGAACTAGTAAACATTAAGGTTCAGAACCTACAATATGACCTGACTAATTTAATGTTAAGATCAAGGTGCCACAATATTACTTATTATGTACATTTATGTGAATAATTTAAAACTGAGGTTTAGAGCAAACAAAGGACTCTACATACAATACAAACTTACCTAACTAGCTTTAATATTAAGATGAAGAACCTACAGTATTATCTACTACACAAAATGACCTGAATCATTTTAAAATTATGATTTAAGTCCAACAAATCCAAACATTCCTTATAAGCAGGCACTTTTTGTAAGAGGTCCTAAAAACCACAGTTTTAACCATTAAATATGTGTGGTTGTGTATTTTAAAGCTCTATAGTGCCCAATGTGTAAACGCTCCATCTTTAAAGGAGCTAAAGCTGTCAGATAAATATCGTAGAAAGTATAGTATTTCTCTCTGAAATCTAGTGGAGTGGAAATAAAGAGCATCATAAAATGGAAACACCAAAGTAAAGCACCTCAAAATTGCACTTGAGTAAATGTGCTTGTATTTTCCAGTGTGTGAACATTTTACACAGTAAAAATTTAGAAGAGTTTATATTCTCATACCCTCTGGGGTCCCCTGGTGGCACCTAAGAGACCAAAGCAGCTTGTTCTGTCCTCGGTCTCAGAGATTTATGTTCAGTTTCTTCAAGTCTGCCTTAATGAAATATTCTCACATCATCATATGTATTAAAACAGTTAAAAGTCACTGTAATCATTAAAAAAAAAAATCTAAAGTGTTTTGAAGCTTCAGTGGTCTGGGAGAAATAAGTTGATTTTGTCACCCATGTCTTACACTGGAATTAACATCACTTCAGGACCATGAAACTGTAAATTTGTAGATACACATGTCAGCAGTTTACTTACATGAAAACATCAGACGCTACAGAATGATGATTTAGCCGTCTTTCAGGCTGACATAACACGTGTGTCGTATTGTTCATTTCTAAAGGTTTGGAAACGCCAGTCACATGTCAAAAACTGGTGATAAATCAGTGAGTGTTACTTGGTTGGTGACTGTAGTGTACTATAGCAACAGCTCCTTTGTGTTTACTACTTTGCATTTGGCTGCTCTGTGTGTTAGTCCTTGGTGTAAACTCCAACCTTGAGCGATATAAAGTAGTAAAATGGATCTGTAGGCACAGTTCTGTTGGCTGTTCTGGGTACAGCATGTGGACTTTCATGTGCCACGCTGTCCTCAGCTCACACGCAGCCTGTTTACGAGAACGACGCTGTTCATCCTCCGATGTCTTCGCCTGACATGTTACAAAACAAAAGCGACTGAAGGGAAAAAACAAATGTTTATTTATAACAAAGGATGTGTCAGTGCGACGCCTCCTGTCCCTCCTCCTTTCTGTCTTTCTGGGCGGAACAGTCCATCAGTTCTTTTATCTTCGTGTAGCACTCACACTCTGGTGGGAAGAGGTTCCTCTGCCATGGAGAGATCAGAAATCATAATACCATTAACGCACTGGATTACATTAAACATTCATGCATATAAGGTAAATCACTTACACATAATGGCTAATGGACTCATCTCAAATATCGACATATTTCTCCAGTGGGAGTACCATTAAGTAAAGTACTATAGAACTAAGTGGGAGATGGCATTTAGTTGAGTTGATCCTGGCACAAAAATCCACTTTAATGCCTAATAAGTGAAGGGAAAACGCAGTATTTAAAATCTGCATATGAGAGAGAGGAAAGAAGGCCGGCCTGTAGTAAAGCAGAAACCATTTACAGTAAATAACGACTCCATAAAATGTTGATTCAGTTGAACAGAACCGCATTTAATGACAGAAGCAGTGAATTATTTTAACGGTTTAATCATTTCGATGCAGTTTATGTTGTGATGCGAACACACACCGACCCAGAGTCGGCGGGTCGAGTCCACGTACCTGCAGACAGAGCCGCCACAGGCCTCCTCTTCCTTCAGCCTGCGTCTCCAGTGAAGCCAGAAACAAAGGCAGCGACTTCTCTGTAATTCTGTTTCCTGCACACAGACAACATAATTATGTATTTAATTCTTCAAAAGGTCCTTTCAGGTTTCATTATTTCTTTTTGTGCGGAGCCTTGGGGAAGCAGCTGCTAATTATCAACCAGCTTGCACAAAGCAAATTAAGAAAAAATGATTTCATTAACCGAGATTGACCTGTAAAATACTATTTTTATATTATTATGTGTCTGTTCTCTCAGTAAAATAGTATTATTTTATGTAGAAATTCAATTAAATCCATTTTTATATACATAGCACCGACACGTCTTCTCAGCCTTACAATAATATATTAGAGACAGAAAGCCAACAAATCCAACAGTTCAGTGATTCCCACTGAGCAAGAACTTGGTGACAGCTGAAAGAAACCTCCAACAGAACCAGACTCAGAGAGGGCAGCTGTCTGCCTCGACCAGTCAGGGTGAGAGGGGGAAAGAGAACAGCTGACACACAGAAAGCAAACAACAAACACTGAGCACGTTGGCAAGGACAGTAACTGCACACTAGAAGAAGAGCTGAGGACACCTGCAGAAAATTACAGTGAGACAGAGAATGGAGAAAATACACCAACTACAGAGCAGGAGGAGACACAAATGGAACAATATGCAGTAGCGGCATATAAATCCATGGTGAGTCAAAGACAGAACAGGAGTAGTGGACGTCGTCATGCTCCCTGGGCTTACAGCAGCATAACTACAGGACAGTTCAGGGTCATCAGCTCTCACTACAAGATGTCCATCCATCCATCATCTCTACACCTTCATCCTCACTAGGGTCATGGGGGGCTGGAGTCTATCCCAGCTGACTCAGGGTGAAGGCAGGTTCACCTGGACAGGTAACCAGTCTATCACAGGGCTACACTTAGAGACAGACAACCAAACACACTCACATTCACACCTACGGACAATTTAGAATCACCAATTAACCTCAGCATGTTTCTGGACTATGGGAGGAAGCCGGAGAACCCGGAGAGAACCCACGCTGCACGGGGAGAACATGGAGACTCCACGCAGAAAGATCCTGGTTGTCCTCACTGGGACGCCAACCGGCGACCTTCTAGCTGCGAGGCGACGGTGCTTATCCCAAAATAATAACACATTCCCAAACTGATTCCACTTAAAATAATGACAAAAAATGATCATGTAGCAAAGTGTTGGAACTTATTAATCAGAATGTGTTCAATCTCATTCCCTCATCTACAATCTCTTTTTTTTTTTATAGCAAATAGTAAATAAACTCAATAATTTCAATAAATCTAACGCTAAATGTCACAAACTAAGCTCATTCTACAGACCTATTAACTGCTAAAATCACTTATTTGATGTTATATTGTATGTTGTTGACTATGTGGTGTAATCCTGCACTCTGTTCCCTTTCACCGTTGCTATGGCAACAACTGCCATTATTGTTTATCTGGTTTTAGCTGAACTGTCTGAACAACAACGAGCGATAAAATAACATTTTAGCGTATTTAAACAAATTCAACTCCAGCTATTTACAATCACACTCCTGACAACCCTGTCGCACACATTCAGTAAAAATATAACATAAAAAGACGCAGAAGCAGGATCTCTGCAAAACCTCTGCTCACTACCTTTAACGTATCCCCCTGTCAACCCTGAACGTAGCTGTAACGGGGTGTTTCTGTCAAGCGGAGCTGCTGACCTGCCAGGTTGAGGGAGTGCAGAATGGTGTTTCCAGGCAGGAAGACCTCTCCGTCCCTGTGATGCACCGACTTGTCCAGCAGGGGGTTCACTGCCTCCACCAGCTCCGCCTGCTCACACAGCAGCACACCATCAAAGTCAGCATCAAGAACATTCCTACTTCACAAAATGTTGCAGCAAACCAACCTCATTCTGGGCAGAACTTGTTTTATCTTGCAGAAAAAAAGTAAAAATAAATCAAATCTCTATCATACTGTGCATGTTTGCATCCATACGCTGGCTGCTGCACAGATTCATGGTACCTCGTGTGCAGACGATTGCCTCTCTCTGCCCCCAGGCTCTCCACCTTTACCTCGAGGCGTCTTTGCCTCAGAGGCTAGAAGAGATTTAAAGAGACGGCAATGAAAAGATAAACACAGCTGCTGTCAGAGGATAATGGAACAAGTGTTTATCTGTGATGGAGGGAATTACTTTTCTTGCTAGATTTTTCTTTGTTGGCGGCTGATTTCTCCTCCTTCTTGGATGCTTCCTGCAAGTTAACACACATCATAAGAATCCACAGGTTTACAGCAGGTTGCGCTGACATCGTACATTCACTTCCCACTGTTAGTGCTACCTTTTTTCTGCCTCTACTCTCCCCTTTGCTCATGGGGGTGCTGCTGCGTACTGAGGCAAGCTGCTCTGAAGACGACTGGTCAGAATCAGTCCTATGAAAAGTCTGAAAAACAGCGAAATGTTCCTGACATGGCTTCTAATGTGTCTCATGTGAGAGAAAAGCTTGTTGGCAGTTCTGCACAGTTTGATGTTTAGCTTTAAGATGGGTTAATGTTGGACACTGTCACACTCACAGCCTGCGCTCTTTGCAGCAGCAGCTTCCTCCTCTCCACCACTTCTTCGTGAGTTAGAGCGAACTTACCGAGTATCTGAAAACGGAAGCAACGTGCAGTGGAGGCTTATTTAATTACACAGTATAACGCAATAAGCAGAATATGATTTAAAACAACTTAACCGCTAATTTAAATGCATTATCTGTGAGTTAAAGTCTTTGATGTAAATGGATACCGCAGCCAGATGAGCAGCTCCTGAGTCTCCAATCTGATTGCTGGATAGCGAGAGAAACAGCAACGCACGATTCAAGCGCAGGCCCTGAGAGGATAACCGGATAGGAAACACCTCAGCAGTGATGAGGGGAGCGTTCGGAGGGGACGTGGAGTCAGTTCTGGGTCATACCTTTGCGATATGTGTAGCACCTGCATCACCAATGGAGTTGAACGCCAGGTTGAGTGACATGAGGTTCTTGTTAGCGGAGCGGCTTGTCGAGAGAGCCGAGCCAATCAGACGAGCGCCTTCATCTCCTATCCGATTATTTCGCAGGGACAAGTGGGTGAGGCTTGACCAAAGAAACACATGACATGAGCTGGACACGTTTCTGCTCCTATTTGTGTGTGCAGGATTGTGTGAATGCAAATCAGGTTTTATGAGAACATGTTTCTGGTTGTGTGCTTACAGGCTGTCTTCAGAGAGAAGAAGGTGGTAGCTCTGCTCAGGTAGAACGCTGCCTTCCAGTTTCACAACCCTGACATGAGAAACAATAAAGGCAATGAATCAGAAACCGATCAGAATTTACATTTTCTGTGAAACTCCACAACCTTTTCCGACTTGAACTCAAATAAACTTTCCCCCACTCTCCAGCCCAGATGCATTCAGACCTATTGTGATGCAGGGAAGCGGCGAAACAAAGACTTGCGAGTATGAATGACAGCAGAATCCACTCACTTGAGGGCGGAGCACAGAGATATTGTGTTCACGAGGGAGATTAGCATTTGATCTGTCAGTCCCGCCTGCCAAAACCTGCAACACAGTGGACAAGATTACACAAACAAAGTAGAACAAAACAGTGACAGCTGTAACCCCGTTCGCTGTAACAGGAGTGCGCCGCTCCACGGCAGCTCATTACTCACTGAAGGCTCTGGAGCTGGCTCACGGATGGGAGCATCTTCTGTAGCACTCGGAAAATCTGCTTGTTCACCTTCCATCCTGTGGCAAATGTGATTAACCAAACATTTCAAAGATAATGTTGGGTTGCTCCAGTGACAATTCATGTCAATCAATTATGAAGTCACTTCCTCATGCAGAAGACAAAGTGATGGCTATCTTTGTGCAACATGTTTCATTTCAATCTCTGACAAGACAAGAGAACACAGCTTGTATTCTGTCAGTTGAATGATATGACAATAGATATCAGAAGTTGGCTGCAAACTCCTCAGAAACATAAATGAGACTTTAAAAACGTTTAAATGTAAACCAAAGAGAAACACAGTTATGTGTTACTCTTACCAGAAATCTTCATATTCTTGGGGCCGAGTGGGTCTTCACTCTCCAGCTCTACTTTTAGGCATGGCTTCCACCAGAAAGGCGCCGTACTTGTCTTTGACTGGTTGTCTTCTGGAAATTAAATAGGACTGTATATCATAAGAAGGACAATTTCTGTGCATTCACATTTCCTACATAATGATCTGTACAGAACAAGTATTTCCAGATCTTTATTGCATTCTAACTGTCTTTGGCTTGTGTTTGTTACTTGTTATATATAATATGCAGCTATTCTGAGGCCTGTCTCTTTCTCCATCAGTACAGAACTGTTCGCTCTTGTTCACCTCCATCCTCTCCTTCAGTTTTAGCGGCGGAGGACGTTGGGTGTTTGGTGCAAACAGTTGGGATGTTCTTCATGTCCAGAAGTGCACAAAGCCCAGGGAAGTCAGCCTCCACATTTCCTGAGCACTGATATTCATCTGTAGGACAGCGGGGTTAAGAATCCAAACCTCATGTCACCACGACCAAAGAGAGGAAAACAGCCAGATAACGTTACCTACCGAAGGTCTGCACAGGCAATGATCCAGTTGGAGTCTGACCTGCAGAAACAACAGAAGTGGTCAAATACGCAATGAGCATGAAACTCAGAGCTAAACGTTAGCCTGCCGTAGCAGTAACAGAATCACCAGTGATTGGGCTGAGATGAAATTTCAACGCCAATTATAGTTCACTTTGAATGCATCAGCTAGCATCCAGTTTTCCCTGTTGACTGCTTCTTCTCAGTGCATGCTGGGTTACTGTAGCGCACTGGGGAAATTAGCGAGTGTTTCAGGCCTTTTTGAGTGCAGATGGAAATGTTTTGTCATTAAAATTTTATAAAATGTAAACAACTTAATCTCATAATGAAGAAATATGCAATGGGGTACATGAGCTGAGTATGTTTAGATGATTTAAAACTGTGACTACTGCTATTTCTAAAGTAAACCTTTGGACTTATGCACAATTTTAATGTACTTTGCAAGTACTTTATGTCTGTTTGTTAGGTAGTCATAAATCCAAGTGGTTGTGGAAGGATCCACCTGGAAGTTATGGAGCTTCTCACATAGTAAAGCAGGCTGAATAGTATTGAAGGCACTTGAGAAATCAAAGAACATGACCCTCAAAGTGCTGCCTGACTGGTCCAGATGAGAGTGGGCTCTCTGAAGCAGGTAAATGATGGCGTCGTCAAACCCAAGTCCATTACGATATGCGAACTGTAGTGGGTCCTGAAAGGTGTTGACCTGCTTGTTGAGGTGAGCCAGCAAGAGTCTCTCCAGGATTTTCATGATGTGAGATGTCAAGGCAACTGGTCTGTAGTCATTTGGTTCAGCTGGTTGTGGTTTTTTAGGCACTGGATCAAGACAGGATGTTTTCCACAGTACTGGAACTCTGTTCTGTCTCAGGCTAGTGTTAAAAAGGTGCTGGAGAACCGGACATAGTTGTTCTGAGCAGGTCTTGAGAACTCTGGGACTGATACCATCTGGACCTGCAGCCTTGTTCCGGTTCAGTTTCTCCAG